TCTGCGGATAAAATTTAATGAGAACAAAATATGTCTTCCTAATTCCCCCAAGAAATCATTAAAACATTTTGTTATTCTTAAATGTCTCAGAATGAATTAGAGCCCCTAAAGGGGCTGTTCGTATGGTACGTCTCCATCAGTTAGGGCTCCTCATTCTCTAACTTGGTGACAGCTGGGGACATACGTTTCCCCCTGCCCCTCCATTTCCGGGGAGGGAGCTGGGAAATCAGACGCGTGGAGTCAGCACCAGGCTGGGAACAACCCTTTGGGGAGAGGGCGAGAGGACACAAGGACCTTCTGGAAAGTTCCTGCCTGTCTTGGGGGCTCTCAAGGCCCCCCAGCTGGCATTGCAATCCTGGCCTTGTGATTGTGGTAACAGCCGTATCTCCAGAGAGATGGGGGTCCCATAATGAACCCCAGAAATGAGACCTCCTTTTCAAGTGGGGGCTGTAAGCGCCTTCTCATTCCCAAGCACTAGAGTCGCTGGCGTTCCCCTGGGTTTGTGACAGCAGGCTGGTTATTCGAGCAATGATCTGGTCACCTCTGCCACCAGAATGCAAGCTCCCTGAGGGCTGGGCTCCCGTCTGCACCAGTGAGCTCATGGTCATGTTCCCAGTGTCTTGCAAGTGCCAGGCACACAGCAGGCACTCAATAAATGCTATCTGAGTAAATAAACACATGACAAGCAGAGGGCTTTTTATTCAAATAACCCTTCCTCCCCTTTCTGCATCTGAGTCGTATTTCTAATTCATTCACCAAACAGTTATTAGGTGCCTACTGTGTATGGTGTTCTGGGTTATAAAATTAGTATGACTCAGTCGCAGGCTTGGAGAATTTTACTTCTCCAAGGGAAGCCAGGTACATGATAGTAGGTGTCACTTAGCAAAGTACCACTATGTGCCATGCTTGCTGAAGCCTCCCACAACTGTATGAGGTAGGCTCTCATATTACTCCCAATCTATAGAAGAGGAGACTGAAGCTCAGGGAGGTGAATTAATTCATCCGCAGTCACCCCATGAGTAAGTGGTACAGGCAGGACTCCAACCTGGATCTGGCCCTAAGCCTGGAAACACAAGCCTGTATCAGTGCTGCCCCCTGGTGCTATAGATGAGGTACTATGGGGCCCAGTGAAGGAGCCTGGTGTGAGGACTCCTAGGAGGCAACTTTGGGCTCTGTACTGAGTCACCCTCCAATGTCATTTGTTATTGAGACTGTGGGTCTTGAAAAATAGAAAAGAGTGCGAAATAGGAGGGTATATGTTTCCAAAATGTTTCAGAATAACTCTGATGAGGGTGAAGACCTTATAAACAAAAAGTTGGAAAGGACTCCCTCTTGCAACTCGTCCACCGACATGCCATCCAGACTGAGGAAGACCGGAAACTTTGGGGCCACGAGAGCCACGGCCATGGCCGCATCGGCAAGCACAGGAAGCACCCGGGGGGCCGTGGTAATGCTGGCGGCCTGCATCATCACAGGATCAACTTCGACAAATATCACCTAGGTTACTTTGGGAAAGTTGGTATGAAGCATTACCACTTGAAGAGGAACCAGAGCTTCTGCCCAACTGTCAACCTTGATAAACTGTGGACCCTGGTCAGTGAGCAGACACGGGTGAATGCTGCCAAAAGCAAGACTGAAGTTGCTCCCATCATTGGTGTGGTGCGATTGGGCTACTACAAAGTTCTGGGGAAGGGAGAGCTCCCAAAGCAGCCTGTCATTGTGAAGGCCAAGTTCTTCAGCAGAAGAGCTGAGGAGAAGATTAAGGGTGTTTGTGGGGCCTGTGTCCTGGTAGCTTGAAGCTACATGGAGGGAAGTTCATTAAAATGTCCAAGTACCTTTGTCTTCTGGTCTGAGTGTAGGTCCTTTGGCATCTCTACTTCCCTACCTGTACTTTGAAAACCTCCCTTACAGGTTCTAGGAGTTAGGGTATCAAGGCCTGGGGTCCTCTGCAAACTTCCGTGAGGAAGAAAGAAGCCTTTTGACCGATCCTGACTTGAACTTTTCATTTATAAAGTGAGAATGATACCTGTTGGTAACGCTTGTGTAGATAAATATTAAATAGTTTTAAGGTAAAAAAAAAAAAAAAGCTGCAAAGGGCTTCTTGGATATGTCTGGTGTGGTCTTCAGGGGCTGCAGACACATGGCTATTTCAGTCTCACACTACAGGGCTATGCCACCTGGGGGGGGAGAGTGGGGCAGGGCACAGAGCCCTGGGGGGGGGGGGGCGGGGCTGTGCTGTTTAGCTCCAGCCTTTCTCACTACCAAAGCATTCTCATTGAGAAAGCCCACATGGTCATGCTGCCTTCCTGAGAGTAGAATCAGGGCAGAGCATAGGACTGGGGCAGAGGGGGTCAAGGCTGCAGATGCCTCTGTAGGGGGCTGAATGGTGACCCCTGAGCATATGTCCATGTCCTAATCCCTGGAACCTGTGAATGTGACCTTATTTGGAAAAAGGGTCTTTGCAAATGTAACGAAGATACAGATCTTGAGATGAGATGGTCTTGGACTATCTGGGTGGGCCCTAAATCCAATGACTCCAAATCCTTATTAGAGAAAGGAGAGGGAGACCTGGGACACGAGACAAAGAGAGAAGAAGCCCATGTGAAGACAGAGGCAGAGATTGGAGTGATGTGGCCACAAACCCACCCTAATTCCAGGATGGTCTCATCTAGAAGTCCTTCACTAACTATACCTGCAAAGACCCTGTTTCCAAATAAGGTGACATTCTGAGGTTCAGGGTGGCCATGAATTTTGGGAGGATGTTTTCTAAAGTTGCCCAAGACAGGTGACATGAGGAACGCTCCCATCCTAAATTCAAAGATCCCACAAACAATTTTTATTTCAAATGTAAATGACTCTGCCTTCTCCGTGGCTTGGCTTACAGTGGGATCGCACTTTCCTCTTCAATCAAACCCCAATCAATACCCACAGCACTGATTCCTGCAGCTCATGGAAGGACGTGGGAAAGGTCAGGGGGCTGTCTGAGTAGAGGGAGTTAGCACAGTGGGGTCTCCTCACAGCTCCACCACTGTTAACAAATCACTACACCTTTCTAGGCTCTCTTTTCTGAGTCAATAAATGAGATGGTGGCAAAGGATGGGCCATTTTTAATAAGTCCAACTTTTTATAGAAGTATATCAAGAAACAACATCTCCAGCCCCTGGAGGCCCCTCCCAGGAACTGTTGCCACTCGATGTCTAACAACACAGGTTAATGTTTTTTAAATTGAGGTGAAATTCTTATAACATAAAAGTAACCATTTAAAAGTGTACAATTCAGCAGCATTAGTATAACCACCACCTTTATCTAGTCCCAAAACATTTTTATACCCTTAAAAGGAAACCTGGTACCCATTAAGCCAGGGGTGGGCAAACTTTTTGACTCGAGGGCCACAATGGGTTCTTAAACTGGACCGGAGGGCCGGAACAAAAGCATGGATGGAGTGTTTGTGTGAAGTAATATAAATTCAAAGTAAACATCATTACATAAAAGGGTACGGTCTTTTTTTTTTTTAGTTTTATTCATTTCAAACGGGCCGGATCCGGCCCGCGGGCCGTAGTTTGCCCACGGCTGCATTAAGCACTCACTCCCCATTCCCTCCTCCCTGCCTGCCTGGTAATCATCAATCTGATTTCTGTTTCTATAGATTTGCCTATTTTGGACACTTCATATAAATGGAATCCTTTATTATGTGGCCTTTTATGATTGGCTTATTTCACCAGGATCATGTGTTTGAGGCTCATCCACATTGTAGCATGTGTCAGTGTTATTCTTTTTACTAGTGGCCCGGGGCATGGAATTCGTGCACATTAAAAGGGAATTAATTAGAGGAAATATTTTAATATTGGTATTTGCCCATTCTCTATAATAGAAGTGTCAGAAATGAAAGAAAATTAGTAAACTGTATATGAAAATCTCCCTCCTGTCAGAGTCTGGAGCACACCACGGGACCCAGAGTCAAGTCCCCGCCCACCCGCGTGTACCTTGAAATCATGCAAGACCCAGACCCGGCCGGCCCCAGCCCCGTCAAGCCCCGCAGGGCAGGGGGCGCAGACTCGGGTCCCCGGGTCCGGCCTCAGGTCCCCGGCTCCCGTGCAAGGGCGCGAGGGTGTGATGACCATTTGCATATTAGCTCTTTATTATATAGAATTACTGAATCATAGTCCATTGAATGGACAGAGCTTATTTGTTTATCCATTCATCCACTGATGGACATTTGGGTTGTTTCCCCCTTTTGGCCACTGTGAATAGTGCTGACAGGTTAATTTTTGTCTGTCTTCAGGTTTTATGTAAATAGAGCAATATAGTACATGTTTTTTTGGGTTTGGCTTTTGCTCTACATCAAATTTTTTTAAAAAATATATTTCTTTATTAATTTCAGAGAGGAGAGAGAGAGGAGAGAGGGAGGAGAGAGGGAGGAGAGAGAGATAGATAGAAACATCAATGATGAGAAAGAATCATTGATGGGCTGCCTCCTGCACGCCCCCCCACTGGGGATCGAGCCCGCAACCCAGGTATGTGCCCTTGGCCGGAATCGAACCTGGGACCCTTCAGTCCGCAGGCTGACGCTCTATCCACTGAGCCAAGCCGGCCAGGGCTACATCAAATTTTTGAGGTTGGCTGCACCATGTTGGAGGAAACTTTTGAGGTCTTTCTTTCAGCACACTCTGCTGGCAGAAAGCACTTGGTGCCATTTGTCCTCTGGGGGGCAAGACAGGCTTCTTGGCTTCCCAAGAAAGTCCAGGTGGGAGACCATGCCAGGAGCCCCCCAGAGCTCTCTGGCTGACATTAGAAGGTAGTGGGGGAAGATGGAGGATCCATGTGGGGATGTCACACCAGACTGGCACAGAACCTATCACTCCCCACAATCCCCACCCATGGGAGGCATGAACTTGCCCAGGAGTCTCAGCCTATCCCCAGACCCCACCATGAGGAAGCCCCTGCGTAATGGCTGTTTCTTCTAATTAATTCTTTAATTATGGAGCCCAAGCATTTCTTACCTGGTGTTTCAATTAATTGCTTGTAAACACTCAAGAAAGCAGCCTCAGCTTCCTGACTTCTTTTACTAAGGGCCACCACCTTTGGAAACAAAAGAAAAAGTCATGTGTAACCATGGTATATGAGCCTACAAGCAAATTTGATCATTTTCAACCTGTGCAAACATGGGATGGGAGGTGGGAGAGGGAAAATGAAGGTTGAAAATATGGAGTTAGAAAATTCAGGTTCACATCCCAGCTCTATTGCATTCTGGCTGTGTAACCTTGGGCAAGTCACTGGCCCTCTCTGACCCTCAGTTTCCTCATCCGTAAAATGGGAGTAAGTAATAGAACCTACTTCCTAGGCCTGTTGTGAGGATTAAATGAAGCTGCATATAAGCAGCTATTAGCACAGGGCACATAGTAGGTTATTTACAGTTACTATTATTATTCTTATTATTAAAAGGCCACACTGGATGTTCAAACATGACCCATGTTTTGAGGAAAAGGGAGGTACACTTGGGGAATATTTCTTGCCACTGAAAATTAAAGAGAAATCATGAAATCTCTAGTAAGATAGCAAATAGCTTCAACAAATGTCAAGGGTGACAGGGTTATATGAAATAGTTCCTGGTATACCAAAAGCACTCAATAAATGCTTCTTGACTGATATACATGGGTGACTAACTCAGTGGTGAAGACCTACATTCACGAGCTCATTTTATTGCTCATAGGCTTTTCTTGTTCTGCCAGTTTGACTCCATGAGACGCATTTAAGAGAGACACAGCTGGGGCTCAGCTCCACATCCATCTGCTCTGGGTTCTGAATTCCGAGCTCTGGCCTCAAGCTGTTTTGATGGTGGCTCTTGATGGTCAGTCCCTTTGGCTTACTCCTGGCCTCCCCTGCATATGAGCTCCTGGTACCCATGTGCTACCATCCCTATCCTCCTCAAGGACATCCTGGGGCGGGTATCTCCCTTTGGACTGGAACAGCTTTATTCTCCCTGGCACTGATATACCTCTCTGTCTGGTGCCAACTTCCTAAACCAGCGGTTGCCAACCTTTTGGACCTCACCGACTACCAGTGGTCCGCAGACCACCGGTTGGCGACCGCTGTCCTAAATGATGAATCTGTCAGAGCATCTACTTCTCAATCACCCTCTTTCAGAGTTGGGCTTTTCTTATGAATCCCAGTGAATCCCAATTAAGAAGGTGTTTGTTATTGAATTCCTTCCCTCTGGGAGCACACTGTCTGGTGCACAGAGGGTGCTCAACACAACTTGTTGAAAGAACAAATCCAAGTGGGTTGCACCCACTTGGGTCCTGTCTCACACCATTCTGGAGAAATGACTGGGGCCAATTCTGAGACAGTCCATTCACAAAGTGGCCAACTGAGGCACAGGCCTGGAGACAGCCACCTGGGTCCAAACCCAATAAGTTCTATCACTTACTATATGTGTAGCCTTTGACAGGCAGGACACTTAAATCCCTGTTCCTCTACTTCCCCAGGTGTAAAATGGGGATAATAATATGATAACCTTCCTTAAATGGCTGCAAGAGGATCAAATGATTTAACACAGGTAAAGTCCTATGCAAGACTCCTGGCATGCATTAAGCCCCATAGATATGTCACCTCTTGGTATGAGCAACCCCTTCCTTCTTGCCTATTTTGGGGACAGGCTCTGCCCAGTGCTAGGTGGTAAGCCTCAGTTGTGTTCATCTCTGGTCTCCTATGGAGAGCACCTGAGCAGTGCACTTTGGGAAGAAGAATTAGAAAGCCATAGTGGCTCCTCTAAGGCAGTGGTCGGCAGACTGTGGCTCGGCAAACCGCGCCTTGCGAGCCACATGCGGCTCTTTGGCCCCTTGAGTGTGGCTCTTCCACAAAATATCTGCTCTTCCACAAAATACCGACTTCTGTGCATGGGCCACGAAGTTTCAACTGCACTGTATGTGCGCGCCCGCACGTGGTATTTTGTGGAAGAGCCACACTCAAGGGGCCAAAGAGCTGCATGTGGCTCGTGAGCCACGGTTTGCCGACCACGGCTCTAAGGCTTTCAAAATGGCAGCCATAAGTCTCATGTGGCTACTGAGCACTTGAAATGTGATGAGTCCAAATGGAGATGTGCTGTGAGTACAAAATACACCCTGGATTTTAAAGACTTACTATGAACAAACAGAATTTGCTACAGTTTATTGGCATTTTTTATACTGATTACATGTTGAAATGATAACATTCTGGATATCATAGGTTAAACAAACCTATTTATTATTATTCATGTTACCTGTTTTCTTTCTTTCTTTTTCTTTTTCTTTAAAATATATTTTATTGATTTTTTACAGAGAGGAAGGGAATGAGATAGAGAGCTAGAAACATCAATGAGAGAGAAACATCGATCAGCTGCCTCCTGCACACCCCCCACTGGGGATGTACCCGCAACCAAGGTACATGCTCTTGGCCGGAATCGAACCTGGAACCCCCCAGTCCACAGGCCGACGCTCTATCCACCGAGCCAAACCGGTTAGGGCTCTTTCTTGTTCTTTTTTAAAAATATATTTTTATTGATTTCAGAGAGGAAGGAAGAAGGAGAGAGAGATAGAAACATTCATGATGAGAGAGAATCATGGATCGGCTGCCTCCTGCAAGTCCCCCACTGGGGATCGAGCCCACAACCCAGGCATGTGCCCTTGACTGGAATCAAACCTGGGACCTTTCAGTTCGCAGGCCGACGCTCTATCCACTGAGCCAAACTGGCTAGGGTTACCTGTTTTCTTTTACTTCCTAAAAATGTAGGTAATGCAAAATATAAAAATATATTCGTGGATCTCACTGCATTTCTATTGGACAGCGCAGCTTGAAGGATTTACAAGATCCACACTGAATTCATTATTTAAGAGGGGTAGAGAGAAATGTATGGTGGATATTGAGCAAGTGATTTTTAAAAAGTCAGTTACAAAAACTCCTTAAGCTCTCTTGTTATTGTGAGAACAGTCTCTGATCTTTTGCCTTCCAGAGTGAATGAGAGTACTATCATTCATTCAACAAACATTTCTTGAGCACCTGCTCTGTGCCAAGCACTATGGGCTGAGAACTCAGTAATGAAAGAGGCTGAATCAAGCCCCACCCATATTGGACTCCCACTGGGGAGACTGACATTATAGCAGATTCCCCAGATAATTAATTATAAGAGCTAAATGCTTCAAACAGGCCTTGAGTGTGTGCAAGTGGGGGAGGCTGACCCAGTTTGGTGGGTGGAACATCAGGAACTGTCTCTTCAAGAAGGGGAAGATGGTGGACAGAAAGAATGTTCTAGGATCCAGGCAAAGGGGAAATCACCAAGTGTAGGCAGATTTTTATTCTTGCTGAGATGGACAGACACAGTTTCTGCTTTGGGGAATCACAACTAAGTGGGAGACACAGCTAGGCCCAAGAGGAACCACAACATGGGAGGAGGTGATGCAAACACTGGGGCTCCTAGAATAATGTGAGGGGGCAAATAATTCAGGTTTTTTTTTTGGGGGGGCATTCCTGATGGGCCAATAAGAATAACAATAAATGTAATATTCATATTCATATGTGCCATATGCTCTTACTATTCATGATCATCTCTCTCCATAGACATACCAATCACGGAAGGTAGCTGCTGTCATTATCTCCATTATACAGAAGAGAAAACCAAGGCTCAAGGAAGTTAAGTAACCTGCCTAAGATTACGCAGTTAGTAAATGGTAGAGCAAGAGTCACACAGGTCTGGAGGTTCAAATTACTGTTCTGAATCCAGACATTGGCCCCTTTCTCCTGGATAGAAAAAACCCTCCCAGCGCCAATAGGGACAGTCACTTGGACCCCCCTCTCCTCATGGATGCTGTTATCTATGGCTGTACCAGGTCAGGGGCTGCTGTGCTGCCCACCTGGAGCCCAAGAAAAGCCATGAGAAATTCATCTCCTGATCCCTGCATGGAGAATTATCAGAGTAGTCAGTGGAAAGTCTGAATGCTTCATTTTATAGTCGTCACTCTGAGCATGTGTGGTGGCTGGGGTTTGGGGAAAGGCATTAGAATGTTCCATGGACTTCTAAAAAGGAACCCTGGGCGGAAGTGGGGGAAAGTGCTAGAAGATTTCTTTAATGTTTCCCTGTCTCTGCCTACAGCACCCTCTATTTTTCATTCATGGCTCTTATCATTTTATAATGGTGTATTGTTTATATGTGACTATCTTCTTATAGGTCTCCCTACCAGAGCTGTGCTGTCCATACAGTAGCCACTAGCACATGCGGCCACTGAGCACTTGAAATGTGACTATTTCAAATTCAGATGAGCTGTAAGTGTAACATATGGAATTTATAAGTCTTGGAATGTAAAAAGATTACATAATATCTCAATAAATTTTACAATGATTTTAAGTTGAAAATGATAATATTTTGGACATATTGGGTTAAAATATATTGTTAAAATTAAATTCATCTGTTTCTCTATACTTTTAAAAATGCAGCTATTAGAAAATTTTAAATTACATGTGGCTTACTCTATATTTAAACTGGACAGTACTGGTGTAGAGCAAGAGTTGGCAAACTATGGCCCTTCCTCTGTTTGTATAAATAAAGTTTTATTGGAACACAGCGACAGCCATTCTTTTATGTATTGGCTGCTTTCATGCTACAATGGCTGAGTTCAATAGTTGTGACAGACATCCTGACTGCAAAGCTGAAAATATTTACTGCCTGGCCCTTTACAGAAAATGTTTGCTGATCCCTCATTTAGAGGTTCTCTAAATGGCTGGACAATATTTTCAAAAGCAGAGATCAGAAAACATCCTGACTGGCATCCAGTTTGAATTGGTTCAAGTTTAGAGCTTCCCATAATAAATATGAGTCCTGAAGACAGTAGCCATTTGGATGTCCTAACTTGTTCAGCCTTGTTTTAGAGTAATGACCTTGTCTGTTTCCAGAAAGCCGGTTCTGATGGTTCACAGTCCAATCTAGTGCTGGGCCTAAATGTCATCAAGCATCACCTGGCCTCAGCTTGTTCATCCATCAGGTGGGAAGAAAAATTTCCATCTGCCTAAGAAGCTATTGGAGAGGAATGAGCTAACATGTGGCAAAGAGT